ATTCCTGGGGCATAGTTTTGGGTGAGGATTTATGACTTCTTTTGATTCATCTGCCATTTTAAGAGGAAGAAGTACAAATGTAGAGTGTTTCTACTTTATGTTCCTAGATGTACTTAAATGCAGACTTGGGTATTTTCTTAGAACCTATCTTACAGGAGATAGCATGGAGCAGAAAGTTATGCTAATTATATATAGCAATTCTGTTCATTAACAACTTCTAAACCATTGCAGGTTTGTGTCACCAGCTTTGTTTGTTTATGGGACAGATGAGAAAGAGTCACAAGTTATGTGTATGAAGGAGAATATCAACTTCACTTTCCATGTAAGAGTTTTCCTTTGTAAACCTTATTTATTCTTGTTCTGAAGGTTAATGTTTAGTGTATCTAATGACAATCTGCACAGTCAGTAAGGAAACTTTTTAAGAGTACAAGGGCATGGTGAGTGGCGATGGGAAGTTGCTGTTAATCCCTCTTAGAACAGTTTTTTGGCCTGGAAAATCTTCCACTGAATGATCAGAGAAAAAGTTCTTAGCACTAGCAGGATTCAAAGAGATAGAGCAGTTCTGACTCACCACTTTTTCCATTAAGGAACACTTCAAAAGGAATTATGGTAAGAAAAAGGAACTAGGAGCTCCTTGTAAGAGGATCTATAGGTATCAGATTTGTCTCCAATGGCTTAAAAGCAGGAGTTAGACATTAATCTCTCCTAGTTCCTTTTGCATGTTCTCCTAGAAGGCAGTCTGTATGACCTCGGGGTAGTCATCACAGATTAGCACTGCTTACTCATTGGCTTTGGAGAAGTGAAGGGTTCAGTAAGCCTACAGAATGAATGAAAAAAAATATTAAAACTCCTAGCAGAATCCATTTTCATGTCAGCATAATAGTGCAGGTGCTACTCTAGTCTATGAAGTTTTATGTGTGTGTATATGTATATATATATTTATATTTATATACAGAATAAGTACCATTAAGGCTTTAAATATATAACTCTTCCCCACAAGGTTATCAGTGCAGGACCAAGCATGGCTCCAAATACTAACTTAGAGATAATGATACCGAATGCTTTTCCACCCAATGACCTCAAATTATTCAACACATTGGACATCAAGGTAAGCACATGTCACTTAATATAATATTATTAGTTATATGAATTCTATGAAAAAGAGAAGCAGAACATAGTACCTACTTGGCTAAGCATCTGTTTGATTTGCTAGCTAAGGTGAAGGAGAGTGAACAAAGAAAGGATCATATTCAGCCCCACATGTTTTAGAATTCTAAAAGTAAAATTTACATTGCTTTTGAGCCTATCAGAAATCTGTATTCTGTGTTTTATCAGCTTTTTAAATTCTAATCATGATGATGTTATATTTATTTCTAGACAACAGTTGGACAGTGCTTCTATAATACATATCCCAAAAACTGTGTTGCAGCAGAAAAAAATGAAAATATATTGAAGGATGTCGTTACTTTCTTTTCAAAGCCTATTAAGAGACAAATGGTAAGGTCTGTCTTTTGGCATCAGTGGGAAATAAATGACTGTATGAATGAGCCTTAAGACAACAGTATATCTTATATAATGAGGTCACAGGGCAGTCTTCCAAGGATTTGTGGTGGGACCTGTGATAAGTTCAGTGTAGTCATAAGTGACTTTAGTGAAAGAGGTGAGAGCTGAGATGAGAAAGTTGATTAATGCCATGTCACTGAAGTCAGTGTGGATGACAATCACCTAGGAAGAACTGCCAAAGGGTTACGTAACTGAAAGAGCAGGCAAACAGAATGGCAGAGGAAATTCAGTAACAAATAGAAAATGATGCATGAGGGGAAAAACAGGTTTTATTTTAATTTCATGAAGTATGCAGATCAAATATTACTTGCCTTTTCACATCAAAAAGTGCTATCAAATGCAGCCAATAGAAAGTAGGTTAAAAAAAAAATCAAACCCAAAAGTAGTATTCATGGTGGAATGTCTTTGTGAAGGGTGTTACAAATGCTAAAAGTAAGTGAATTCCAAGTAAGATTCTACAAGTTAATGGGATCAAAAGTCATTAAAAATTACAAAATATATGGAAATAATTTTTGGCTGTGAAGTCCTTATTAAAAATATTTGGGAGGCCGTGAGAATGTCATATATGCCTGGAGTGTTCCAGCTCATCCCTCCATACCTGCACATGGACCCTGCTGGAGGGCAAATACTTGACTGTGCAGTCCAAACCAGAATTGCTAATTTAGCGTGGCATTGCTGGGGTTTATTCCCTCAGAAATCTGTGCCCTGCAAATTGTGCTTGATAAAGTACTATGTCATTTAATTCTTTCATCTTGAAAGAGCTGAAGCTTTTTTAATTCTATTAATTTGGGGATTTTAAGTAAGCACATTACAAGGAGTATCAGCCAATGATTAAGAGATAGCCTGCACTTGAATATCTAATCAGTACTTAGGCATTGTAGTCTTGGACAAAGAATATAATCAAGAATAGGCTTGTGTTTTTGTCTTCTCCAAAGCTGAGTGAAATGATGCTAGCTGTCAGTGTACAAGTGTAAGGATCAATCAGTTATGCTCTCTGTACTGGATAGCATAGAGTGATTGTCAATTATTACTATTGATAAAAGCTATTTTGAAATTAGATTAAAAAAAAACCCCAAACATATAAACAAATTGCAAAAATTGTTATTTTTCAGTCTAGAAAACCTTGAATTTTTAAGAAAAAATGTCTTTTAGGTAACTATTAGATTGGTCCCTTGTTACTGTACCTCTAGCACCTATGGACTGACAGTAGTGGGTGACAGCCTGAAGTTACCTCCTGACTTTTCAAGACAAACATCAATTTTTTTTTTTTTTTACTCAGCTCCTGAGTATCTGTAATACTCAGATTATAAGGTTGATAAAATCAAGTTTTAATCTTTCCCTCCCTTCCACAGTACTGCATGAAAAATGACAGCCTTTGCTTACAAATACATTGCAAGCTTGGAAACATGGAAAGTGGAAAAGAAGCAACTGTTCAGTTGCATCTGGAGGCTACTCCTTCACTTTTGGAAATGGTAATACATGAATTTTTTATACTTGAGGGGAATATTTCAAGGCATGTTTGTGGTATTCTCTGCATATAAATTCTGACTATTATATTTTTGCAAACAGTCTGATTAAACTAAGTCTTTTAGTCATTAAGCTATTTTATGTTGTTAATGCTAAGGCTGAAGGTGATGTATGAAAAATGAAAACCACTGAAAAACATGTATTTTAGCTTATCACTTCATGATATTTATTGCTTTGCCTATTCTGCCTGGGTTATGTAGGGCTGGGATTTGATTTCACCTCATAATTGTACTTCTCTCAGAAAAGCAGCGTGGATGTGGACTTAGGTAAAATCCAACCTGGCTTCTTTCCAGCTTCTGGCACTAATTTGTTTTGTGATCAGAAAAAGGCACCATTGTGTGTTTGTGTGAGATTCTGTTTCTGTGAGCAGCTGTGTTACCATTTTTGCTGGGCAGGAATCAATGTGTTGAAGTAACTTTTTAAAGATAGGATTTTTATTTTTTTTAAATCAGGATGATGCATCATCATTGAAATTTGAAGTAAGAGCAACAGCCTGGCCAGAGAAAAGTGCAAAAGTTATTGAACTACATAAGGACAAACAAGTTGCATACGTAAGAGTTCTCTTAATGAATTTGTGATAAACTTGTTAAAGTAAAAAAACCAACAGGATTAAAATTGTGCGATTCAATACATATCTATATACAGGCAATTAATATATTGCTAATTACTTGAGAATGTAATTAATTTTACTAGTTTGGTTTAGTACCTTTTAGGGGAAAGAAACCCCAAACAGTTAACACTAAAGTAATTTTCTGTTTTCCAGGTCTATTTGGAAGGAGTGCACCACCTAAAGCCAAAATATCGTGTCACTGTGCTAATTATTGCCATGGGCTTAATAGTTGGTGTTATCTTGCTTTTGCTTCTTTCATTTATATTATGGAAGGTAGGTTTTCAGTATATCTTAGTCATTCTCAAGTCAGGAATTCATGCTTTTGGAGGATTTTTGGATCTGTTAATGCAGATTAAAGGATAAATGCCATTTTATTATGATCTGTCCTTTCTAAAGAAAGATAATTCGTCCTGTAAATTGTGTTTTTTCAAAAGTACTTCTCCATTTTTCTTAATTTTATCTTCTGCATATTTTACATCTTCTGTTATTCAACACTACAATCCCCCTTACAATGTTTTATATGGCATCTCATGTTTGCAGATGATTTCTGTAATTTAATGATATCAAATGGATCATTTTTGTGGATGGTGCTCCACATTTAATGTCACTTGACACAGGATGACTAATAGTCAACACAACATAGTTTCATGCCAGAATGAAGTGTTTAAGATTTCAAACTGCAATATAAATGCTAAAAAAAACCCCTGTGCATAAGTAAAAGGGAAAACTATGAAGGATGCAGCTTCTCTGGCAAGCAACTAAGATATTGTTAACTTCTTTACCTACATGAAGAATTTCTCCATCAATCATTTTTTCATGGAAGTGTAGAAATGAAACAAGTTTAATAGGAAAGTTTCGTTACCATTTCACATTTTTAAAACTACTGGATTCTGTGAACTGTTCCAGTTCACAAGCCCAGATGTTCTTACTCCTCGTAGGAGAATATTAGCCTCCCAAAAAGTAAAGAAAGAAAAAGCAAACCTACTTTTCAGATTAATGAATGAATAACAATTTGAGATGACTTGGTATGACAAAGCAATGGCAAATACCATAATCATAAATGCCATATATGTGCATTGTATTTTAATTCCTCTTTTATGGTTTAGATTTGATAACAAAGATTTGCTGACAACAGATTCCAAAATTGTGTGTTTCAGATTGGCTTTTTCAAAAGGCAATACAAGCCAGTCCCTCAAGATGTGAACAGAAGAGACAGCTGGAGTTTTACAAGCGGGAACAAAGATGACTAAGATGCCAAACGTTTGATTTTAAAGTGAAGAATTTAAAATTCAGGTTAATTCACAGGAGAAACATCAGCAAAAAAGAAAACTAAGTCTTGAGCTCACTCAAAAACATGCTTTATTTCCTTGAACTCTGTGGAGGACTACACCTTAGAGTACTGTTGTTCTAATATGAAAATTTTTGTTTGTTCTGAAGTCTCACAGTATCATTTGAAATGCCACATATACATAGATCTGGTTTCAAACAGACAGAAGAACACTAAAGATAAAGAGAAGAAGAATTACTTACCAGAAAGAAGAATTTCTAAAAAGTAATGTTTGGCCAATTCTGGAAAGTAAGATCTTAAACACATTGTCATGAATTATTCTTTTAATTTTTCAAGTTTCAATAATATTTTGATTAGACATTCAAGAAGGAGTTCTCTCTCGTCTTGCTTTGGCATTTTTAAAAGGGTAAATTCGCTTAAACCAGTAGAAGGACTGTAAGTAGAGTGCACGGATGTAGAAGATGGCTATCAGAAGTTCTCTCAAGCTTCTGAAGATAACCACATAAGCTTTGGCTTTACAGGCACAGCCACATCACTGAAGAGACATAGGCACAAGCCAGAATCAAGAAGGTCAAAGGTGGACTCAGAGCAGAGAATTCTGTGGAGTAGCCTGGAGATGCAGCTGTAGAAAGAGTATGTTAATGGAGATGATAATTTGTAGCCATCTTTAACATGGTACTTGCAAGCATGACAGAATTGTTCATCCTTTCCTCAGATAGTGCTGCCATGATGTTTTGGACTTCTCCAATGAAGTATTTCTATGTGGGGTTTTTTAAAGCAAGTATTTATTTTTATTTATTTGAAGATTTTTCTATAGTACTTATCATAGTAGTATTTAGTGCTGGCATTCTTCCAGAACCTGAAAGTGTGAAAGACTTCACCTGACACAAAAGAGAAGCACATCCACAAAAGACTCCAGCTGCCAACCTGAATGGGCCAAATTTTATCTTTAGCTTTAGACTTAATAAGGAAGTCATTTGGAAAGCTAGCTTGGGTTCTTGTGAAGTTGTCAGATAAATACCATCCAAACAGGCACCCTCAGCAGCAACTCACTCGGCAGAAAGACAAACGCCTGAACAGAAACATGGTTCAAACCACTGCTCTGCTACTCCAGGAAGTTTCTTCAGCTAGCTAAGTTTGCACTGCCACCTAGCTTTGGTGAAATAGTACAATCCAGGGGAAAAAAATGCTACTTTTCTCCCCAGTACAACTGGATAATGTACAAGTTCTTCGACAACTAAATTTATTGCAACAGCAGGATACAGCATGGCCTTTCTTGCCAGGCCTTGATGTCTTTCTGAACTGCAGGAACTGAATGTCATCTATACATGCGCTTTGCAGCTGCACCATCATATAGGAATTAGCCTGAGACTCAAAAGCTATACAGAGTGCCTTCAGCAAGCACTTCTGCTACTAGAGTGCTGGGTGCCATAAAAGCCATGTTGTCCACAGATTCTGAAGGTATTGGGGACCATTTTGTAATTTCTTTTCACTTCATTTGATGCCAAAGATGTGGATCATGCCAAAATATGTTTTCCTCTAAAATCTTCTGCAGTGCAAGGACAAATGAATGTGCATATATTTTTTTTAAAAGTCAAAATAAAGTGTGTCAAGAATGAAGTATTTTCTTGCAAGTCTATGAAAATATACACAAAATGCTTATCTTCCAAATGGCTTTAGCGAATTTTTGCACTTTAACCAAAATCCCTTTGAACAAGAAATTAGTTTGATATTACAGTATACTGTGAAAAATATACCTCAGATACTGGAAGAAGCATTAATGTTCTTCTGAGTACAAACAATGCAAAGAAGTGAAACCAAAGCATGTTATTTATCTTTGAAATAGTTTACATAAGTCAGTACATATGACAATGTTGCCTTGGAAATTGTATACTTCCTATTCAGATTTGATTGTAAACATGTAAATATTGGCTGCCTGTTCTAAGGATATGAAACAAAATTATGAAGCTTTTATAAACCAGGTTGACAAACACAATGAATGTACAGTGTCCTGATGGTAGCAAGGTTATAAAGTAACCCTTGATTTCATTTTATTAAAAAGAACCCAGTCAAGTTAAACACAAAAATGCTGTTTCCTCTGCAAGTTCAATTATTTTGTTATTTTTGTTATGTACTAACAGTTAAATCTGCTAAATTTAGCTGGAAGTGCCTTATTAGACAACTTTAGGAGGTTTAGTTTGAATTGTCTTAGCATGTTAAAATTGATACTGTATCACATCAAATATTTTTAATTGGAGACTACTCACTGTGACTTGGACAACGGGTATAAATTTAATGAGTTTCCAAGCAGACATGAAGAAAAACAGTTTCCTCCTGAGGACAGCCAGGCATCAGAACAGGGGTGCAGAGAGAATGTGTCATCTCTAGCTTGGGAGGTTTCAAGGCTGGACTGAGTGATGCTCTGATCTGATATCTGGACCTGCTCTGAGCAGGAGGCTGAGCTAGAGATGTGCTGGGGCCCAGCCAGCCCAAAGGAGGCTGTGACTGATCCTACTCCACAGCACCTATGCCAGTGCAAAGGGCAGAACCCCCTACAAGTGTCCTATAATTAATTGCCTAGGAAGCCTTTGATCAGCTATGAATTTGGACTTGGCTACTTAATGGCCAGGGTTGTCCATAGAACAGAAGACAGAAAAACATGTTGCTCTGCTACTTTTCATCCTCTCAGAAAAAGCCAGTTCCCAGAAATAGTCTTCATTTTCTGTCAGCTCAAATAATTATTAAATATTAAGTAAGTTACCCAAAAAACCACTCATAAAAATTATGTTTATGGCCTATACGGAAATTATAAAAAAATTAAGTCAACTCTTAAGTTATTTATCATAACTTTATTCTCAGTAACAACAAAAATTATGCTGAGTAACATTTCAGTTCTAAGATAGAAAAAAATATTTGTTTTGTACAAGGAGTAATTTTTAAAATACATTTCAACAAAGAAAAGCCCTACAGGACATCAGCATACTCTTTTGTATTATTTGACTAGAAACATTTTGAGAGCAAGTATATTAAGGCAATATTAAAAATTGTTACTAGAAATAGAAGTGCTTGATTAAAAAAATAAATCCATAAATCTATATTTTGCCACCATTCTTCAGCATGAAGTGGTACTATACCTCCACTCACCAGCTCTAGTTGAGTTGAGTTACCTGAAAACATGGATAGCAGCAGCAGACTTAAAAGTATCTCATACTAAAAAAACCTAGAATAACTTTAAAGGAAAAAAGTCTTTCTTCTGACAAACACTTCTTGAACCCCAAATATGTAAGAGACCAATATAATGAATCTTCATTTTTTCTTAAGTTTAACAGCTTCTATAGAATTAAATGCGACCTGTTAAAAATATATTACTTGCTAAGAATTTTAAACCAGAAATAGTACAAATATCCCACTTAAGTTTCTGCTGCATCAGCTGATGTCAGTGAGTGCAGGGCTGGCACCTTGGAAAGCTCTGCATAGGGGTGAGAAGAGGATCCTTTACTACAGAACTTTCAGTGTGTCCCTTCTATATGCAGTTGCATGTTGCTTGGGAACTCTCCAGGTCATCAGTGTTCACTCCATAGAGATCAATAAGTTGAGGATGCACCCTGTGAAGTGAGGAAGTCAAACTTATCAATCAAACTTTATCAGCTCTTAAAATGGGTGCGTTGCTTTTCAGGTTGGGAGAGAGAACAAATATGTATAAGCTGCTATATGGAAATAAATCAGGGTGAATTATTCTTTTAAGGTCATCTTTAGAAGTATCTATTATATAGCCTATAATATGAGCTGCCTTATATTTTACACACCAGACAGTTACTCTGAGCTCTATGCCTTCAACTAATCCTGTGTGCATTGCAGAAAGATGAGCCACTGCCCATTTAATTCCACTGATAATCCTCCTATTTCCCTATATATTTGTAGTCTCTTCCTTAGATCCTAGATATGGAGACTATTCCCAAGCAGCATTAAATTTCCTACAATTGAATAGCTACATGTCTTTGTTAAGCTTACACACACTGCTTTCCAAGCAGGAATCCTTGTCCCAAAAGGTCCTCACGGGAGACACAGACCTTTACACACCTCTGTTCTCCTCTAAGACACAGAAGGGTAAACTAACGGGCAGAAAGAAGAGAGGTGGAGATGGAAGCTGATGAAGCACCAGAAAGGAAAGGTGTCATCTGTATTATATACAGATGTAACACATTTAAGATTGCAGTACTAATCTTTTGCAGATATACCGTGCCTAAATGTACTATTTAGCCTTACCGAACATGAACTTCTGATGCTTCTTTCATTAAGTCTCCATCAATATTCCAAGGGTAATTTCCTTCTGCAGGAGCAGCATTCAGATATGTATTTTCTTTGGCATCAAGTCCATTTTTAAGCCTTGGTTTAACTTTTACTTCCTGAACTGTGTAGGTCTCAACAAAGGGGAAATTGAACTAAACCAAACACAAACATATATTAGATGAAGATGAAAGAGATAGGCAGTAGCTTAGCAACCAGCTGGTTACTTGAATTTAAAAAGCTTACTTTTTTTTGTCTTAAGTAAATGGGAACATTTAACTCAAGCTTTGACTACATTAAGCATTATATATCCCAGCTAGCATTTACAGATTTACATGTTCTTTTTATCCTAAATAGTGCCTCAGAAAGAACGGTAGTGTTCCAGTTGCATTCTCATATCGGACTGGCTTGATCTGCAGGTGAGGTGGTATGTTTTGTACATGCCAAATGCTTTCAGAATATGTGGAAGTTCAGGCAGATATTTTTTCCTGTCCTCTGTTCATTATTATCAGCAATCTTGTCCTAAACCAGACTAGTTAGAATTCTAGTAAATGGTCAGCTAAAGTTTAAAGGAGGGTCCACATCTCTCCCCTTGTCTGATTTCTAACTGCAAAGGCAGAGAGAAAAAACAAGGCCAAAGGCCTAACTGGAGAGCTTAAACTATTACCTAAATTTAGTTGGTAGTGCTGTCACATGGAATTGTCATTCACCTCTTCCTCAAACTCTGACTGTTAATTAAAACCCAAACCTTTTTGGTAAAATGGATTTCACATAGTATCAGAACATTTGAAGAAGTCCCATTGTGCTTACGCTATGCAGCAAGTCTTTAGGACAGCAATAAGTTCTGTGTTTGGATACTTCATTTTTCTCTTCAAAGACCAAATAATGACCACGATTTTGAAATGTGGTTCTGCAAACATTCCTAACTAGATGGAATGCAGACCTGCTACCACCACAGCATGCAATGATCTGCTGAAATGATGAACTTTACTGATTTCTGACAGCATTGCATGATGCCCCCCCAGGTCTGCATCCTTAGTGCCTGTACTACAGATAATTCAGACACAGCATGTATTTCCTTATTGTGGTCAATGGGCTTTACACCCATAAAACTATGGTACAACACAGATACAATTTAAACCACAACAGATGGACTGAAATAGGCTAATCTGTATTAGTCTAGTGATTTAAAAAAAGAAAAAAATCAGATAAAAAGGGGGCTAATGTATTGTGACAGGAAGCTAAGTCTCCTTATGAGGATGCTAACATTAACTCTTGCAGCTTGTCTACTTTCATGATTTACTGTACATTTTATAATCACCAGAAAGAAATTAACAGTACCTGATTTTTTGCACTGGTGTATCTTTTCAGATGCTTTATAAACTCTGTTCGAGAAGTATTTTCTACAACAATAAGAGCCATGCTTCCATTATTCAACCTGAAAAGTAGAGCAATTTAGCTCCCAAAAGAAAATTCATTAATTTAGAAGTTTAACAGGCTCTTCAATAACCTATATTTAGGAAAAAAAACAACTAACAAGACTAAGTTAATAGAAGAGTGCTTTTTAAAATCTTTGTCCCAAACCCTGCCCCACAGATAAATACAAACTATGCATTGAGGTTGTTTAGCATCAATATATTTATAACATACACTGTAATAATAAAATTTTACTCCCTTAGCAATATCAATAATTTATTGAACATAATACATATAACCTAAGAAAACTCTGCTTTTCTACTTAACAAGTGTTTTTTAAACATTGGGGATCACAAATTTATCTCTTCACTTTTGTCTCCAGCAAAGTCTAACAATTACCATAAGTGCTATAAGGCAGAGTTTTACCAAGAAAAGATTCCCATAGTGCAAGCAAGCACATCCCCATCATATACCCCAGTGCAGATGGGTTCATTGACCTCCTCTGCTAACACTCATGCTGCCCTTACAAGGATTCCCGTCTTCGACTGTGCCACTGTTCAAACTTAACAGTTCTCAGTACAGTTCTATGTATACATTTCACACAGCACATAAAAGTTTAAGACTAAAGAAATTTTGTACAAGATAAAACAGTCATATACTAGAGAGAAGAGACCATTGAGTGCAGATGCTCAATGGCTCCAGATATCCAGTTGCTGTGGGTATTTTAGCATCTTCAAGGATTTGGGTCAGACAATGAACCAGTGTCAAGTCACAGATTCCTTTGTGCAACTGTACCTCAACAGGCACTAGCAAACTGAATCTCAATGCAATCATACCTAAATCCTGTTTGAGTTATAGAGACCAATCAATGTTTAACAAGAGTATCTGATGAACATGGCAATCACTCTTGAGACCATATACAGATGACATATTTCATATCTTCTGAATATATATACATACATTTATTTATTTGTTCAGTGTGTATGCTTGGAAAATATCTTAAGAGAATTTAAAAAAATACTTCCACAGATCTCTCCTCTCTGAGAGTTATTCAGCTACTGAACAACTGCATGAGAAATGTTCTCAGAGTACAATACAGCACAATCTAGGGGAACAATTTTTACATAACCATTAAACAAGTCACCTGGCATAGCATTACTTTGCCAATTCAGAAAACAGCAATGGTGATATTTAAAAATTTGCCTCCTTATCACATTTTCTTCAATAAAAGGGCACAGCAGGCTACTGGGCAATATATTCAGCACTAGGGCCTTTCATCTTCAGAAATGACTAGGAATTCTCATTAATTCTCTTGAAAGCCCAGTCTGCAGAGAAGCACAACACCTATGCTGTAAGAAACACATCTTGCATGGCTCACATAGCACAGACAGTTAAAACATATCTTGACATGTTTCTGCAAATTTAGACCAGTGTAACTAGAGCTGCAGGCAGCAGTCAAAGCTTTCATTCCACTTCAAATGTCTTCAGATGGCAGAAATGTCTTGGGGAAATAGGAGAGAGAGAAGAAACCTAGCTGAGTTCCTTCCATAGTGGGTCTTGAGTCTCTAACACTTAGTGCAACATATATGTTTCCCATACTGAAAAGACATACAGTCAATACAGTATTCAGTATGACAAATAAAGCACCTATTTGAAAAGTCTACCCTTCCTACCCTACTAGCTGACCACACTCCTAAGACTTTTTTAAAAAATGTCATTATATGAAGAGATAGGGAGATCCACTGAGCAACTACACTGGGAGAGGAACAGGCTCGTTCAAACCTACAATAATTGCATGCAGTTGTCACAAAATTCCCTGTCACTGAGAAATAGGGGCCAGAACAGGTGGAAAGAGAAAGCAAAGCTAAAAAGAGAATAACTTCTTCTCTTGTCAGAATTTTTATACTGACTGGTATATAAACATTAAATGCAGAACAAAGTTCCTCAGAGAGGACAACATTAGGGTAATATCTAGAGGTGTATGAGGTTTAGCATGACCCCTGTGGCAAAGGAAACTTCTCAGTAAGACTTTGATCATAAACATTTGTTTCTACAGTGTTTCCAAGTCATCAAATTCTAAGAGCTCAGCCAGTAATTTTGAAGAAAAATACCTCATCAATTCTTTTCTATTTTCACCTAATGATAATCAAATCATAGAATCATAGAATCAACTGGGTTGGAAAAGACCTCAAAGATCACCAAGTCTGACCCTAAATGAAACAAAATAGACTCAGGAGTCTGCATTCTTTTTTGAGGGAGCCTGTTGTATTTTGAGTATAACTATAAAGTTTGTACTTGCTGTTCTGCTTAATTGCCAACTGGATGCATCTGCATGCTCTCAACAATGAGCATAAGGCAAAATGAAAACGTCAACAACCAGGTTATGTACTGGTTTGTTTCCCCAACTCCTGCATGTATAAGGTGCATTTCTTAACTTCAGGGGGGAAAAAAATTTGTAAAAAAAAATACAGAACACAAATGTGAATTTTGTAGTTTTTAATAACATGAAAAAGACATACTTCGTTTTTGCTGGCTGTAAAGCAGATGAGGGGCACCTTTCTATTTGAAAAAATAAAATCAAATCCAAGAATGAAGTTTCCACATATAGCCAAATCCTATGACAGATGACTACTTGATGACTACTACTTAAGTTAGACTTGCCAACTAATTTAATCACAGCAATTATCCACTCATTATTCTAGTTAGACTGCTTGACCTTATTTGCCTGATCCAAAAACTGATTACAATTCCTGGGATTATCGAGTCTGCTGCAGTCTATGCTCCCTCCCCCACTCCAGAGGGACTAGACTACCTAAACATAGGTCATATTCTCAGAAAAGCCAAGGTCTTAAGGTAAGTTGTCAGAATTTATAGACATGACTAATTCTCTAAACCCATACTGACCTCGTATTAGGTGCCAAGCCTCTTGGTGCCATTGAACACAGACAAGGGATTGCCATAATGCTCACATTCAGGAAGTGACCCTGAATTTTCTGCCATTGATCCTTGCTACCTAAAAATAACAGAGTAATTCTATATTACTCCAGTTAATCGACAGCACAGTTTGCGTTTAAACAATCGTAAAAGGAAAAACTCACCCTTTTTTTTAACTGCCTCTTTCTTCTTTCTAAAAGGGTGGAAGCATGTAGGTAAAATGATTAAAGTCATCTTTGCACATCTAACAACACACACTTTAGACAAAAGTAACATATCAGTGGAACTGAACAAATCAATAATATGAGTGGAAGACTGCCTTGCAACAAAGCCTCTGCAGTCTACAGGGAACCCTGCACAATGTGTACGGGTTTGCAGCTTTCAAAACAAATTTTCTTGGTTTTTTTAAAGTTTTTTTACCTGTTGATTCAATTTGAACAAAATTAGGAATCTGTACAATTTTATCTTCAAAGACACATTTTTTTGTAGCTTTGGAATTGTTTGATTCAGTTTTACTGACCTGTCATTCTCAGGAGAGTCCTCCCGTGGAATTTGTAGAGGTAGAAATGATAATTCACATTCCTCTGGCCTAGAAAAGTATTGATAATTACTGTCACGTAAACCAATATTCTGACCATTAAATGGACTTCAATAGAAGTTGACATGATTTTAAGGAGATGCTGAAAGTACAGAATTTATCTCCTCTTTAACTTCTCAGAGGGATATACATCACATCTGAGTTAAATCCGTCAGCAAGTAAGATAGATAAACTACAGCTGCCTTTATTTTCATCACATTAATTATTGCATTTTCCTCAAGAAAACCAGAAATACTGGAAAAATAGAACATCTCATGGCATACTTGAGATCTGCCAGTGTTTTGATAAAAGCAAAATCCTTCCTCTGACTGGAGGGCATCCAGCGGTGTTTTTCAGCCAAAGCAAGAGTCCTCGCGCCGAAACCAAACATAGCCGAGAACCCAAAGCGCAGCAGCTTGCTTGGAGTGCTGAAAGTGCACACATCTACTGGCTGAATGTGTCCTAAAATTTCAAAGATAATGAACAGAAATTACAAATAGCCCCAGGATTTCAAATGAAATACAACTTCTCCTCTCTCTTTCATCTCATTTTAGAATAAAACCTCCAGACGCTTCTCTCTTTAGGAAAACAAGTTTTACTAAGGGAAACCCAAATCAATCTAGAGATAATTAAGACTATAAAAGTAGTCATTTCAGATTCTTGAAAATGTTAGGGTTATGGCGAAAATTCAGCTACTTCATAAGGCTGGAAAGGGTCTGACTCTTCATTCTATTCACATTTTCAACAATTAGTGTTGAAGAAAATGTAATCTTGTTAGTATTTGCATAAATATTTGCAACCATTTCACCAAATACATTTAATGACTGAACATTGTACTGGAAGAGATATGGAAATTATTAAATATAGGTTTGTAATGTATTCTTGCTTACAGTTATAGAATATAAACATCTAATTCTGTTCAAGATAGTGTATGTACATTTTTTCTGTAATATAACCTGGGCAGTTTTCATTACATTGAGAGTCTCTGATTTTTTTTTTAAAAAAAGCATATTTTAGATTTTGCCTGTAAAAAATGTGCTTAAGTTTTACTATTACTATATTAATGTTCAAGAAATAGAGCAAGGGCTCTTCCAGTGCTGACTGCAAGGCCTAGAAAACAGATAATCAAAACAGACTTTCCCCATTATAATCTTTTTTCATTAAAAAAACGTCCTAAAGAAAAAATGTTTTGAGAGGAATATTAACATTGCCCAACAAAGTATTCACTATTTCCTAAGACCCAAAAAATAAGGTTTGTACTAGCAACCCAGTTTTTCCTTTTAGCATAATTACATTTTCACATTCGAATACCTCTTTATTGTGCAGACCAAATGGCAAGTGATACAGGTTTTTTTCTACTAATAAAGCTTTCTTTTAGCAACTGTTAGTACTTAAAACAAATGCACCTAGAGGTAAAAAGATGGCTGATACTTTCTCAGAAATATGACAATATTTTGCTGAAAAATCCAATCCTAATCACTTCCTGAAGTGTTTTGTGTGTTTTCCTATTGTCTTCAGCAGGTACACTCAATTAAAATAATCAAGTGATTATGCAACCAATCATTGCATAATAACACATGCAGGGTAACACTATTCACAGAGTCAAGTCTGGAAAAGGTTACTTTTGGCATTAAAAGAGCATCAGTAATAGAGCAGGCATTGCCAAAATTAAACATTATTCCATGGCAGATTTTAGTTACCAGAAGATAAGCTCCACAACTTTTGCTACTGAACTATACTCAAAGACTCATAATCTTTCTAGACCACTATAAATCAGGATACAATCATTTGGGATTAAAAGCCTTAACATTTAGTTTACAGTGACATAGTATAGTGCTGTGAATTTACCAAACAACTGATTATGGCAAACTTCTAAATGCTGCTTGATTATTTCATATCTGGTAATATATGTAAAAATATTTACCCAGTACAATGTGCAGTGTTGCAGTCACTGCATGCTTAATACCATAGAGTGTATGGGCCAAAATATTAGTAGTACCTGTAAAAGTGAAAAAAAACCTGCTGTAAAAACACGAAAGATACAGGATAACAAGCAAAAAAAAAAAAAAAAACCAGCATTTTTATTCCTGCATTTTCAAATAAAGAAAGCCTCCCCATAAAGTACTTAGTCTTGTTAACAGCAGAAATGCTGAATAGTATAAAGTCTTAAAAACTTCCAGAAGTTCAATCTGAAGGAGGAGAAATTCAGGTTAGATATTAGGAAAAAGTTTTTTCTGTGAGGGTGATGGGACACTAGCACAGGTTGCCCAGGGAGGTAGTGGCTGCCCCAACCCTGGCAGTGTTCAAGGCCAGGTTGGATGAGGCCTTGAGCAACCTGGTCTGGTGGGAGGTGTCCCTGCCCATGGCAGGGGGTTGCGACATTCCAACCCCTAAAATTCTATTATTCTATGAAAATCTTCTCTCGAATTTAATTTGTAAGTGCCATAAAAACCAAGGGGAGGGTGGGTGTGGAGGCTGGAAGGCAACAAGCTGTTCAGAAATTGCCTGTTTGGGTCTTTTAAACCATCTCCTTAAAAATCACCACTGATATACCCAAACACTGTATATTTGGGGAATATTTTTAAGTTGGTGTAAAACTCTACATTTCCTGGACAAAATTATACTAGATCCTGTCAAAGATAGCTGCTGTGCTTCTTGCAGGCTATATTTTAGAGTTTTAGAAGGAATAGTGAATAAAGTTAGTTACTGCACATCAGCTTTACATATAAGAAATATTAATGACTGAAAAACTGAGAGAACATAGGATGTGATATGTGTCTGACAAATAGTTGACTTGCATTC